CTATTCGGCTGCATCCATTTGGTCCGGCTAAATTCCAATCTAAATTCCAATGCGTCCAGATCGGAATAGATTTTGCATGTAAGAACGGGAGGCCAGGCTGCGTGTTCGGACGACGAGTCGAACGTTGGGTAGCGTCCAAAACACCCTTCTCCTCGCGTTCACCCTTACTCCAATTTAAAAAACTGTGCCTTTCGATCGAGTAAATTCTATAAAATTTCCGTGATAAATTAGAGATGCCATTCACTCGGTAATTCATTGAAAAGCACGTCCAATTAGTTAGGAAATTGGTTGAACAGATTTATAAATCTGAAGCGATGAATGATGATCTTTTGTCATTTTGGCTGGTCAAGTTTTTAAAATATAAATTTCTTAAATTACCGTGATCTTGTATTTAATCAATTTCGAAAATTATCCGCGAATAATTCAAATTATTACAGAAGCATAATGCGAAGTCCACTTTTGCAATCCACTCCGACGTCCGTTCGCGTTGCATTTTGAGCAGTGCGTTAAACGGCAAACAAGGGAGGAGAGCGTAAGAGAAGAGACACCGCGGGCCGATGCTGAGTGCAACGGTTAATATTTAACGACACTTCTGAAGCAGGTACGAGAAGCTCGGGAAAGAATACCTCTTGGCAGCGTCGCTGCGAGTGGCACACCGGTAAATAATGTAGCGTGATAAATCGTTCGTCGGTTTATCCGAAGTTCTTCCGATTCGAAGGAAAACGGTGTCGCGACCGTTCGCGGAACGCGCGAAAACTCGGTTAATTCGCGATTATTTCAGCTACTCACGGTGTCGTCGTGAAACGAGCCTTCAGCGAAATGGTAATGAGATCTCCTCGCACCAGTTAATTTCGCTATCTGCTCGAGGTGTTTCCCTCTTTCTCTCTTCGTCGCACGCATGCCGAGTCGAATGTAATCACGGTGTGGGACCGGATGCAGGACAGTCGCGGGTGCTCCGGCGAGGTAAAAACGACGAATAAGAGACCGCGGCGCGCGACATTTCGCGCAGAATGAAATTCCTATTCTGCATTGTCGGCGGTTTGCCACTGCAGTCGGCTAAAGTGGCTGAAAAAGCCTGGAATGGAATGAAAATGCCGCCAGGGAGTGTACAGGTCGATGCATATTTTTCTCGTTCGAGTACGCAATTGTCTACGAGGTATTTCATTGGCGATTTTTATGACGTTAATACTTTAAGGCCGTCTGAACTTTTCTTTGCATGTGTTAATATTGTTCTGAATTCTGGAATTATATAAGCCCCTATCGGGTCATTATTTTCTATCTCTAATAGCAGTAAAAATAATTGAGATGTTCATCTTAAGTGAAAAGGTAACGCAACGTTTCGTATAATATTTAACATACGAATAAAACGATTCACCCCACATTTAACGTGCGTCTGACAGTACAGTGTTCAGCGTGTTAAACGACCCACACACGATACGATTTCGCAGATTAAATTTTTAAACAAAGATCTGTTCTTTTTCAAGAAGAATAAATGGAGACGCAGTCAAAAATGATAGCGATCTGTCGCAGTAGCTCGTTCGAAAAGCATCCCAGGTGAAAAGACCTCAAATAGAGATCGAGCCACGGATCCGCCTTGAAACGACGTGCCGAACGGAACAGGGAAGTTAAACGAAGCGAATAAAAGAATTAGACCAGGAAAATTGAATTCAGCCGACTGAAGAGACGACGGGATCGAAGTGGTTGAACACACAAAAGCCGGCAGTCTGAAATGGCAAATGTATCAAGCGTACATCTTTAATCAACTTCGATTCGTCTTCCAGAACGTTACTCTCTATCTCACGTTTCACCCTCGAAACTTACGAGGCCGTGTCAAGTAATTTCTCTACGAACACTTTCGATCACGCGTCTAAATCTCCCTCCTTATAATCGAACATTCGTAAAAGTATATCGATAGCGAAACCGTTCGTTCGTCATTACCATACATGTGCCATAGCGAAACGGTCCGTTTGCTCTTCGACGATCCAATGATGGGAAAAAGAGGAACCAACAGAGAGGAACGGAAAATTTAATCATGCGAATAAAAGAATTGGACTATCGAGTAGGAAGCTAGGGGTAGAAGAGGGTGTGCGAAAATAGCGTCCACGAAGGCAAGAAATTCATCGGATAGCTCGATCCGGGCCCGAACGTTCGGCTCTGGACATTCGCGGTTGTTCTGGTTCAAAGATTACGATCATAACGAAAAACCATCTTCTCTTTCTGTTCTTCGAGTCAGCTCCGTCTGTTCGCACACGCCGTTCCCTGCCACTAGGCCCGATGGCGTCGCTCCGTATGAGAACGTCCGGCGACGGCTGCATCGCATAGAGCATTGCTCGCCATGGCATGCATTATGGAACGGGCAACGATTCTACCGGAAAAATTGCGGACACGCGAGACGGACGCGATCTGCAGCCCGACTACCTACATACAGTCGAGAGCAAAATCAGCCTTCTTTGGGGAACCAACCTCCATTCATTAATTCTTAATGATTTTTCGTCTGATACACATATAAAAATCAGTCTGGAAATTTTCAGAACTCGAGATTCTAGAGATGAAGATCTTTGAAGACTACAGTTTACGACCATCTGAGACAATTTGACTACAATTTGAGATTATACAAATTTGATGAGGTCTAAGAATTCGTGGATCTGAGGATCTGATGCAGGGATATGAAAATGTAGGACTTTGAAGAGTGAAGGTTAAAAAATTTAGGAATTCAAGAAATTTTGCGACAGTATGAACTATATCATTGTCGATAAGGATCGAATGTTATCTTATCAATGGTACACTCTGCACGACGAAAGTTTATCCGTGTATTCTAGCCTGAAGAGGTGAAATTGCGGGTCGTTCCTCGCGCTCGAGGTAATCAGAAAAAGGAAAAAAGAACATCTGTTGGCACAAACGGGTTGACAGTGACGCAGCGCGAAGTCGAGCGAATTTGTCGTCGCCAGGAAATTCCGCGTCAAGCAAACCAACCCCCGCGGCTGATGATGGAAGTGGCGACGCACAACGCGGCCGTTGGCCGAGCAGTTGTAAAAGAAATATTCAACGGCGAGTGTGCAAATGAGGGAGGAAAGAGGCGTGCTGCTGTTGCTGCTCGTCCCATTTGCGTCGCAGAAACGTTATGAGAGAAGAAAAAAAAACACATCCATCCGTCTCTCTCAACTGCGGAGCACGAAGAACCGGGCTAAAATGACAACAGCCGTGTAACGCTGATGAAAGGGAGGATAGAGCATAATCCCCTTGAGTCCGGTTTTCCAGAAGGGTTTGCGTCACCAGATGCGGCGGGATAACGATGTTTCAAATTTAAACGGTACTCGAAAATAAACCGCGCGCCTGGACGTCATTGAACGTGGACGCGCTGTTTGCGGTTTTCATAAGCGTGTTTTCTTTCTTGCAATATCTTGCGTTAGAAGCGGGCGAATATAGTACAGAATGCTCATCCTTAAGATTTTCAATGTTTCAATTTAGGAAGTCAAATATTTGGGGATATGGGTGTTCTGTGACTTGTGAGTTTACAGATTTCGAGACTCTAGAAATTTGGGGATTCGAAAATTTAGAAAGTTGGAGGTTTAGGAATTCGGTGATTTGGAAGATGAGAGATAAGAAAATGGGAACTTGAAAATGTGGAAGTCTTGAAATTTGGGCAAATTGGGCACTTGGAGACTTGCAAACTTTGAAAATTTAAGAATTTGGGTTTTGGAATTTGAAAGTTCTGAGATAGGAAAATTTGAGAATTTGCAAAGTAGATGTTTGAAAGTATGGAATATCAAAAAATCTGAGATGCGAAGATTGGAAGTTTGAAAATGACTTCATACTCTTTCCAAGCTCTCCCTAATCCCTTCCTAATTCCTCACCCTTCTAGTTCCTAACTTCTAAAGCAGCTTCTTAACCTCCACTTAGACTCCTTATCCTCCAAATTTCCCTAGTCTCTCAACACCCTCTTCAAGCTCTTCCCAAAACATACACTCACCACAAGTTCTTCAAGAAACTTAATCTGTTCACGAAGTTGCATCGAAAAAGAAACAAGGATAATTATTATTTGTCCTTAGGCAAGCAATGTACGACGAATTGAAAATAATCGTCTCGTGAAACGATTATTTTTATCGTCCGTTCTATCGTAATTACATTAATTTCTCGTACGTTGACGTCGAATAATTTCGACTAATTACTCTTATGCTACCAATGCGTTGGTCAGGACGATACGAGAGATCATTTCGGTCCGTGTATAACGCGCATAATGATAGTCCTTTCGACGATAAGTAATGGGTTTCTCGTTTCGATCGGTGCATCGGATAGTTATCAATCTTACCGAACGAACCCAGCGGCCTGTCATTATCGCTGCTCGTCATTTTGTACGACACTTTGCCGTTTTATTTCGCAACCACGATTATTTGCCGAACGATTTTCGGTCACCGAGCAACGTTATGATGTCCGTTTTCATCGGGACGGTATATTTCTCGCTACGAGAACTCGACGTACCTCGATCGAGCGGATAACTTTTTCTTCTCTGGAAACTCGAAATCCGACGGAACACAACTGGAGCACGTTGCGCCAGTGAAATAAATCGACGGAAATGTACTTGGAAATAAACGTATAAAAGTTGCTCCGGGATTTTGATGTGAACAGGTTCGTAGAATCGGGTCGCGTTTAGAATCTCAAACGGGTATATCAACGGTTAATATTTGATTTAAGTACTTTCAAATTTTACGATCTCTTTACGTAATCAAATTTTCAAACTTTTAAAATTTTCAAATATTGAAATTTCCAAATTTCTAAATTCCTAAATACCGTAATTCCAAATTTCCATATTCAAGTCCCAATTCAAATGTCTAAACCATATTCCACAATTTCCTCCAAAAACCCAGATCAACAGAGTATCTCTTCCCAACACTGATCCAACGCTCCAAACATTGTTCCAAAAACTTCGACCAATTTTCGACAATCTCAAAGAATATATCAATGACAAGAAAGTAGAGAGTGTTACACTTAAAGACACTTACATGAAGATGCAGCTGTCCATTGTTGTCGACCCATCCGATGACCATATCAGCCCCGATCTGGCCGTCATTTCTGGTGAAACCGAGGCCCACGAAGCCTAAGGTCCTCACCTGAACCTCGAATGTGATCTCCCTCTCGCCAGGTGTCCAAAGAACTAGGAAATTATCGTCCAAAACGGCACTGTGTTTCCATTCGACACAGAGGATACCGCTGACCAACAGGAGGAAATACGATACGATTATCGACTTCATCTTCGATCTACCTCAGTACATCTGCAATCAAGCAAGAAACATGTTAGTTGTCTCATTCAAGGACAAAGAACAAACAACAAAAATGTACAAATTATAAATTCCGTCTGTAAATTTGCGGGCAACGGAATGTCGGAGCTGCCGTTATGAACTTATTGCAAGTACTCGAGAAGTTATAAGCATCCGAAGAGAAGTTATAAGCACGGCGAGTTGTTACGAAGGGGAAGGACGTAACGTTTTTCGCTAATACTCGTTAACTTTATTTTCTAACGGCAACTTATGGCGGACGGACGTCCCATCAGCATCAAACACAGTCTCGCGTAATTCTCGTTTTCATGCCAGCGGCGGATCGTTAGGCTTCTATTTAGTGGTATTACGCGGTAGTAGCAAGACCGAGCAATATTTTCCTTCAATATTTTAACAGCGGTAGCTGGCCATTAGCCACGTTGCAGCAATATCGACGAGTCACTGGCTACTTTAGAGCGTAAACGTTTCACTCGTATCCGTTCGATAATTCCCAACGTGTCACCCATTTTGTCCTGCAAAAGGGCGACCCTTTCTTCTCTTGCTATTTCCACTTATTCTTCGCGACAAGTTATACTCATTTTTGTTCTTGCATATTTCATGTTCATTCCGCAATTTTGAAGTAGTTCAAACAGGAGAGCAGTCAAAGACACCATCATGCTTCATATACGTAGTTAATATAGGTTATGTACTTTATATTAGTTTTTATGATGTAATACTATTCTTTCATATTCTTATTTGACTCTATTCAAGAATGATAAGTTTTCTGAAGAGTACGAGTTAATTCTGTATGCATGTACAACCTCAATAATATCGTGTATCCATATATGTACATGCTTAGTGTTTATACTATTGTGTACATGTCTATATCCATATGTATGTCTGTACTATATGTGTATACATAGTCTCTATATTGTTATACATTTTTGATTGAAAAAAATATAAACCCTGTCATTTAACTTCGACAGAGTAAAACTGACCATCACATAATAAAAGCTTATCAAAACACTGATTAGATACCACAGATCAGAAAATGGAAGCAATATCTCGTTCGAAAAATTGCATAAAATTTCAGGCTGCCATCGGTTAAAGCGATTCTATCTAACAGCAGATACGTTTCAATCGATTTATCTGGTCGACTGTCCAACGAATCGGTCCAGGTAGGCTCAGTGTTAAACAGAAAGATTAATCGCAAACTCGATTCGCGGACGATGATTGATGTTGACCTTAATTCCCGATCGCCTTATCGCGGATCGCCACTGTATCACCGATATACGTTCTAGTTTCCGGTTCTTTTGCGACCTCGCATCGACACGACCGCCATCAATTTCACTTTGCTACCGTAAAGAATATCCGTGCATTTTTTTGGCGGGAAAAAAATTTTACGGAGTAATTAACGTCTCGGGTGAATAGCTACGGCGAACGTAGAAAGAATTTCACGGGCGATCGGACGAAAAAAGAAGTCCGCAGTGGTCAGCAAATAGTGCGCTACCGGACGAGTCGTTTAAACAGTCAACTTCGCTGTAATTCTACGATGCGTTTTAGTTCCTTAATTTTGGTTGGAAAATCCACTGTGTGGAAGTAACATTTTTCTATCGCCTTTCGTATATGATAGTCTGTGCACCATTTACTTGCAAATTGTACATTTATAAATTTACTCATTTGAAAATTTAGGAATTTTAGTATCTTTAGCTGTGACAAAGTTATTAACAATTTTAATTCTGGACATTTATAAATGTAAAAATTTGTGAGTATCAAAATGGTGCATGGTGATCCATAAATGTTTAGAACCCGCTAGTTAAAAAACAGCCGTACGGTGTATTTTTGATCAGACACGAAGCAAACAAACGTAGTATTTTCCGAAGCGAGCGTGAAAGTACTGCACTGGCGGCAATCAAGGGCGGAGGCGAATTTCGAGGGTGAAAGAAAAAGTCGATTCGAGGCTGCGGATTAAGCGGTTCGCGTACGCTCGGTGCAGAACTGCGCATCGCGAGCACCGACAAGCAAAAACGAGCAAGGAAGAGGAACGTCGGTATGGAAAACGGGGTGGCCGAAAAAAAAAGAAAGAAGGAAGATTCGCAACCGCGGTCCATGATGGGCGAAAAAACACGAGGACGGACCGCGCGAAGGAAATCGAATTGATTCGAGAGCGTCGCCGATTAAAAATTCAATGAGGGTGACGTGGTCGCGGGGGAGAAACGGTCGATAGGGGAAAGGGTGGAAAAACAGATGGCCGGATCGTCGAAATCTCTTTTGTCCGCGCCCGTGTGCAAACATCCGCCGGTAAATCAGCTGGACACTGTCAAGAGAACTGTCAATTCGAAAGCAATCGAATCGATTAACAGTAACGATCGCGTGACGCTCGAACGAGGCCGATGCAAATCCACGGAACAATGCCAACGTCCCGAAGTGTCGGACGAGTGGTACATCCTGACCGTTCAACTATTCGTTTCGCGCGGTCGGGAAAGCAGAGAATTAAGCGCTTTACAGAGATCATCGATCAGTGGAACACGGGGACAGGGCTGGCTTTATCGACGGTGTACCGCGTGTATTTACACGGGGCGCCCAAACTCCCAGAGACAGCCCTGCACCCCGGTTGAACACCCCGAATTTTCAATTAGGCTGAGATTCCGTACAGAACCTGTGCTCTAATTTCTAGTCGAGAAACAAAATGAGATGTGTTCGTTTTACTTGTGTGTATTTACGAAACATATGTTACATTGTAATAATATAGAAAATGCTGAAAAATACAGAAAATGCAGGAAAAGAAAATATCTCATTAGAGTTTTAATTATTGAAGCTCATTTCTAGGTACAAATATAAAATATGTTGCGAGGAATGTTTAAAAAATATTAAAACTTAGAATTATGAAAATTTTATGAATACATTATGAATACATTCAATTATAACTCTTAAATTTCATGCAACTAAATTTAAAAAGTAGTTGTAAAATTATTATTACTAAAAGTATTTCAAATTAAACCAAGTGTCTTTGCAAGGAAATTATTGTAACCGATTTAATTGTAATTAGAAGGTAGGATTAATTGAAACATAAGTCGGCCCTGACAGTATTCTGTGCCACCATGTTTTCCCGGTAGGTGGAAAACGTGTGATCCCGACCGTTACGTACTTCACGCGATTTCGAACACCGCGAAACGACCGCAACTACGGGACAGAACGTTTTAATTAACGACAACAATGGTATAATGAGTAACTGTTCGAGTAACAGAGGCACAGAGGCGATTGTCGAACCCGTAATATGCCGCTTAGTAATCGGGATCGATGACTTTGACTTAGGTACGGTTTAACCGACGGAATTAGTGGAGAGCTTTTTGGCTAGTTTGGTTAAATTGAAACCGACACTATTGCAACATTTTAACTATTATGCAACGTGCTTGTTTATTATTGCAGACATAGCAATTATACCGTTATACTCACAGCTATTTCGGTTTCGCAATTCTGACAGTTTTAGGGTATATTAGGATTAATTTATGAGGAAATTGATTTTACTAGTTTGAAAGCTTTGAGCGTTTGAGAATTTCGGTATTAAATTGTTAGGAAATTTGGAGATCCGGAATTTAGGAATTCGAAAAATAGGAAATTTGAAGATTTACAATTTTGGGAGATTAAGAAACTGGAAAGTTTGGATCAGATTTCATATTTTGCAAAGCTTAGGAAATTTGAAGAATTTCGGACTATTTTAGAAATTTGTAGAATTTGGAAGTTCAGAAATACATAAAAGGAACGGTTAGTAATTTATAACCAAAATATTGAGTCACGAAAGTTTGGTAATCTGGGAATCAAGGACAAACGTTATAAAAATCCAACTAATTCGAAAATATGTGCTAATATTTATCCGAACGAATGTATGTCACGATTGCTCCGCAACGAAATTGAAGCAGATATAAGCCGGATTACGAATTACGGCTACAGAAATGAGAATAACATAATTGTAACTTGTACGATTATTAATAAATATTCGATTAAAATTCTGCTCCGCTATTAATAATATTTCGTACACGTATCGTTTGCGCCATTTAATATTGAGACAAGTATAAATAACAGTTTCAGTATGAAAATAATTTGTATCAATTTTTGACGCTAACGATTTTGTAACAGGATAACTATGGATTGGATAAAATTAAATGGATCAAATTCACGGGTCGCGGGTTTTTTCTGTTCGGTATTGAACCGATCGTATTGGTTACATAACACGAATCGATAGGGAATTAAAGTTAAACTTCAATCGTACTATTTTTAAGCGGTGGATTACGGTCGAGCGAATTTCAACGTGGATTTTTTAGATTTCGGAACCTTTTTTCCGGATTTTTTAACTGCGTTTGACAGAAAATGTTTGGTGGGCAGTATCGTATAACACGTGTAGTAATAATTAAACGAATGTGGAACTCAATCTGCGGTGTTCATGAATTAACAATCGCCAAATCGATGAGAGTTTTTTTCCTCGTCGAAGCAATTTTCATCAAATTAATAGGAAAACGATCGTCAATTTTTCCGTGGAAGACTTTATCGAGTTCAGAAGTAATTCGCGAGAATTGCGCACGCTTTGCCGGAACATAATCATCTCCAACACGACGCAACATCAAGAAACTTGGATTCCTAGGACCGGAAACCTCAAATAAGGTCGTACAAATAGTCGAAGTTCGACCCGCAATCAAACTGCACCATGGAAACTGTGCACAGTTTCAAACGCTCGTCAGAGAAGCTTGTTTCGTGCGCGTCCAACTCTTAATAATTGCTTCTGTAACAATTCAAGATATTTCAACCGTGAAGTTTGCGTTGTCGCTGCGTGCAATATTGAAAAACGTATCCCACTGTTAATTAGCGTTCGTGAAACGCTCGTTCATACGAATAAGACATAACAAAGAAAAAACACAGAAATTAAATCATCAACTTACAAATTAAAACGTTCGATTATTTCGAAAACTGATCAAATATTAAAATTCATTCATGAAATTTCATTCAGTATTGCTTGAGCCGAT